ACGTTTGGGCGCAGCTATTTGTGAAACAATTTGTTGTTCCGGAAAAATAATGAAACTGAAAGAAACTCGAAACATCAAGCTTATACCCATCCCAACGCCGACAAACACACAAGTCATAAGGCTGGTACAACAACAAATTTGCAATGATTTGCCATTTCTTTTTGATTAATTTTTGATTGGGCGAACGTGCCTAACAAATAAATTTGTTTGCCTAACTCAATCGAAAATCATTTGGTTCGCGAAAAATTCGTAAAACCTGAACAGTTAGACGGCGCATCCAATGAGTGTGTGGAAATTTGTAACGGACCTGCTGTGCCTCCTTGGGTCGATGTGACGCACTCCTTTTACGGCTTTATGGAAACACAACACAAAAAAAATTCGCATATGTGCTTTGTACTTGTACATAATTGTTCACAAGTAGGATCGGGAAATTTCAACCGGGTTGTATCAACCACTTTTTATCAACCGGCCTGCAACCCAGTGGTCTTGGGTTTGTATTTCTGGTTATTCGATGGGGGGGTTGTTTTCTGATCCGCATCAGGCTGTACATTAAATGGATCCGCTGGTACCTCTCAAATTTGTACTGTCAAACTGATCTGATTTGCACCACGCTTTAAAATAAACCAATCTGGCACCCGCGGCTTGTGTGTGTGTGTGTGTCATATGTCTTTAGTACAACACTTATGAAAGTTGAAGCTATGGAACCAACAACAATGCAAAAATCTTAACAATAGTGAAACAAAATCGCCATCAACAAAGTCATGTACGTTGAACTTGATGCAACGCCCGTGAACGAAACATATGTACGAATATGTATTTCCATAAATTTTCGGCACGGACCATCCCAAATTATACTTAGTTGGGAACTTCATTTTTGTTGGTTAAACAGCGACCCTGGGTACCATTGCCTATCAATGTCCATGCTGACAAATGCCCTGCACAAGATTGAGTCGAAGAAACGTCCTGACGAAAATTTAGCACAGTGGCAGATTATAAAACCCGGACCACCTGTTGCCATTACATTGTCCAAGATACATTGCGATCATGATTTCGTTCCAAAGTTTCGTTGGGCACGTAGACCCATCCAATGTTGGTTGCTAGCGCAACAGACGTCGTTTGAGAACATCGGACAATCGATCGACGCGGTGCGTGTCAAATGTTTGGTTGCTTGGGCACTTGCTGGTTTGAGAGTAATTTGGAGCAAACCAAACACTGGAGGCGGTGGAAACAACGGCGGTATACACCAATGTTTTGGCCCAGGTCGTGCCAAAGATTTTGTCCAATATTCATCGCGCCTTCCTCATAGTGTGTGCGGGCAATCCCAAACTCCAGGTGTGGCGATTAAGATTTTGAATCAAAACCACAATGTTCTTAACATGAGGTGGGTTTGCGCGTGTGAATGAACGGTGCCATTTCAGCCCGCCACACGCCTCTCCACCCTATCATCCCGACCTACATGGCGGTACGCTTGTGACTCAATGTTACCTCCGCTGCCCCACCAGAGCCACCCCACCAACCCTACCCATTTCACCCACCTCACCTACCCCACACACCGAACTGCAACGGTTTCCCTGCCAACCCCTGAGCGAATAAATTGGATGTAACGTAACGTGCCCGCGCGTCACCGAATGAATGCCGCTGCCTGACCTCACCCCACCCAGCAATTTTTTTTTTGTAAGACATGCATTTTTTTTCTTTGTGTTTTTCTTTCGCCCATCCGAGTCACAAGTATGGTTGCGGTCCCGTCAAAAGACGGAAATTAGAAAAAAAACATACCAACTTGCCAAAAATCAACATACCGTTCTTCAAACGTGATCCAACATGCATGAGTCCGAGCAAACTCAAACCAAGATGATTGCTGAAATTTGGATTGAACAAATTTGTGGAAATTCACGAAAGTTAGTTTGGGCTAGCTGAAGTTGCTCTTGCTTTAGCAAGGAATAGGCGGGCACCAGGACCGTTGGAAACCCTGAAATTTCAAGCTAGACCCCCCCCCCTCTGGCAGGCCCAGGTTCGATCAACCTCCTCAACGTCAAAGGATTGGCGCTGTTTGTGACTTGCAGCCGTTTGTGACCTGCAGCAACTCTAAAAAACTGCGTGCGACCGTTGCTGCATTCCGACTGCGCCGTGCTGTTCGCCGTTTACGCTTTCCACCTTTCCCCAGCCCTGCTAGTTTTCGTACCCCCCCTCTGGCCTCAAGTTTTGTTCCATTTTTTGTGTGGGCGCTCATATTCGGAAAACTAGGACAGAAAAATTGCTGGACCAGGTGTTGCCAAGACGCAATTCTGGTGTAAACAAACCACCCTACCGGGTAGTTGGCCAAATGCCAGGACAACCGCAGTTGGTGCGCAAAAAAAATATTAACCCATTGCCGATTGTGCTTGGTTAGTCAAGGAATTTTTGATCAGGCAACGGTTACGAGTTGTTTTGGAGGATAGTTTGTCTAAGACACAACTGTTGTTTCGACCTTGTGGGAGCACCTCCCACGCCGCATCCTCACGCGAAGCACGCACGATATCGAAGAGCAGCAGGGTTCAAATTTAATTGTTACCTCCTTAGACTGGGAACAAGCATGTGCCAAAGTCCAGCATGAAAAACTTTATGTGACATTACAAAGATCTGGGTTCCGTCAGCATTTCTTTGTGTCAATAGATGTTGTTATTGCAACACGTGATTCCTTGTCAAACATGAATTTGGTACATCCACAACAAAACGGCCAGCGGCACGGATTAGGCATTGCTTTGCCGCTATTTTCCCCTTGCCTATGTGTGCTGGTTATGAGTCTCATTGACCATGATATTTCGCATATTCTTGAGAAGGACACCATCAGTTCAAGAAAGGCTGGCATCGAGTTTGATACAATCGACTACACTGATGACACTGTTCGCCTCGCCACCAATATGTACGCGGCAAACAAGAAATTTTGGGCGGTAGAACGAATTTCGTAACACTTTTGACCTTGCATTAAACTGGGATCAATGTCCCTATATTGCGATGAACGGTCATAATGTGATCAGATTTGATGATGGAACCAAACTCAAAACGTGTACAAAATATACCTATTTGGGACATCACATCGCCCAGTCATTGAATGTACGACAAGAAGTGGGTCAAAGAATGCAACAAACTATGAAAACCTGGTTCAAACTCGAACCTGTTTGGAAAACTGCGCATTGCGATCATCCAAAACAAACTCGGCAATGCGTTAAAAACCCTTCACGTTACCCAAACCATGTTAAGGAAGATGGATGCGTTCCACCTCCGTGGGCTTCTTTGGTCCATGTTAGGACTGCGGACAACCTTTGTTTATCGTAGGCACGTTAATTAATTTGTGCTGAGGACTGCTTCTGACCACTCGGGACAAAAAATGCCGTTCTTTTCGGACCTCCTCCTCAAGAAACGTGTCGCTTTCGGTGGACATATCCTTTGAGACACACCACGTTTGCACCTAGTACAGCATGCACGTATCCGACTGGAAAAAGGAAGGTAGGAGGTCCGAGGCAGCAATGGCGACATTTTGCGCACAGAGATAGATATAAAGATTGATATAAATATTTGGAACGTTTTTTCGGACGAACGAACAGGGTACGAAAAGGCAGGCAGAAAGAAAAAAACATCAATTGGCTCTCGCACGGACCTTCCAAGTGCAGTCCCGACGCGGGCCCACGGACACTTGAGTGCCCACGGCCGTCAAAAAATCATGGATTTCATGGTGTCTCCAATCATCCTTCTTCAGAAAGACCCGTTTTAAAACTGACCGAAAGCTCCGGCACCGCACACTGTTCAGTTTCTGCACGTGGAACTTCGTCAAACGTAACTTCCAAGAAACATATTTGTTGATTATGAAATTTTGGTTCAAACCACCCGTAAATGAAAAACAAATTCCATTTCAGTTTCTGTAGGCAAATTTTCCAGTGAAAACTCGTCCAACACATTTCTGCGTGCAGGTGCCATGAGGTATTTCCACAAAATCATTCCCAAAATTTCTAGATGTAAAAGTATGTCCAAAACCGTCGTTGTTAAAATTCTTGTTTCTGACGGAACTCGTGCCCTCAAACATCAAACGAACATAACAATTGCAAAGGATAGGGCCAATTTGTCGGCGGGTGACCACGCAGTTTTCAAACGTTGAAGCATTACAATCATCATGAACATATTCGTTACATTGGTAATGCGGAGATTCGACGAATTCACCAAGTCCTGCAACAACGCACCCGTAGTTCCAATTCCCAATTGTGAAGTGAAACCGTCTCGAATGACAATACGGTAACGCAAACGACGAGCATCTTCCAGACAACCCTGTAACTCAACGTAGAGAAAATGAATTCAGAATGGGGATGGCCAGAGATGTGCACGAAACACAATGCAGCGAAATGGCAGGCGATACCAACGTAAAACATTGGAATACGATATTCCCATCCCTAAAACAAACGACAACGACGAACGATGTTTTTTGCACGGGGCGCGCGTGTGAGTGAAGGCACCGGTGAGGGAAATTTTTTGGTGCGCAGGTGAATGCATGGCCGTCACCGTCGCCGTCAGCGTCACCTTTCGGATCGTTGTTAAATGTTAGCTCGAAGTTGTGAGGTGTGATGAAAGCGAAGGCTGTCACAACATGTGCAAATAATATACCAGTGTCGAACGACATAAACTGTGAGATCCGGGAGGTTTTTTCCAGCGACGCTGCGCGTAAGTCTGTAGGATCAAATTTTTCAAGTAATCTGACACGAGGCCGTCGTGTAGGATTCAACCAAACTGCTTTCAGGCATTCATGCAGCAAGAAGTCGAACCAAAGTTCGTTTTCGCAGCCTTCCGTTTTTTGGTTTATCATGGGGTTCCGGACGAAGAAAAGGAACAACAAAAAGCAACTGCTGCTCGGCCAACCCAGTAGTCATGGCATGTCAAGCTTGACAAGCAACACACTTGCAAATCCCTGCGATCCTTTCATTCCCTGTTCTGAACACAGACGCCACGTACAATCTTGCTTGAAAAAATCGTTGATTTTGGGTGCGATGCCGGATGGCGCTATGCTGGCTTCATTGCTTCGGGAGCTCGCCCCGAATGCCGAGGACCGCGGTGTCGCATCCAGTCTGTGTTGAAGGGCTGGGTGTTCTAGATTTTCTAAATGAAACATTGGTATCAACTTCCAAATATGCGGCGAGTTTTCATGTCAACGATGTGCAGAAATGGTTTGAACATGTGCGGAATCAATGTAGGCTAGCTCGAATCGTGTCTGGCAAGGACAGCGTCATCAGCTATTTGACCACCGCGCTGGCAGACGCAAACTCCAAGGATGGTTGTGCTGGCAGTGCTCAGCGGAGCTTGGCAGGGTATGTGTTGCTTCGTATGTGATTGATTCGTTTCGTTCCATTGTCGTCCACGCAGTGCTGGCATTCTTGGCCTGCAAACCGTTTCCGCAGTCAACCTTGAAGGAGGATGTTCGAGAGTGCTGCGAGGGGTGGCTGGAAGAGGCCCGGCCCCACTGCGACCTGCAAACGGGCAGGTAAATTTAGCGGTTGCCATGCCCAGGCAGAAGCAGATGGTGGCTTGGAACGCCTCTGCGAAGCACTTCATTTGGGTAGCTCGAAATCTGCCGCGTCCGCTTTTGCAGTGCTCACGCCGTCGCTTGTTACTCCACTGAGCGGCTGGCTCAGCTTGGGGATGAAGGAGGTTTTGTTTTTTTTGCCAATCTTGGCTTGCAGCTGCAGAGGGGGAAAGTAGTGAAGATGATAACTAATTAGTGATAACGTGCGTAAATTCATGCGGACTTTCGTATTTGTGTTCTCGCTTGGTTCAAATGTGGACTTAGGGGAATTACCAGGGGGCAGCAGAATCATCAGCAAGTGAGCCCGTTTGGCGCAAACTTGTTGCAACCTTTTCTTGCGGTTGTTGATTTGGTCAGGTCTTGGCTATCCCTCGGAAGAACTTGAGGCGGGATGCTAGCGTGGTAGCCGCGACCGATATTTGGTTGCATTTCTATTAACCTTAGTTCCTCAATAAAAAAAAAACAAGACTATTTCTGTCAGCGCCTAACGGGTGTGGCAGCACGGCACCTGCCCGGTGTCGCAGCAGGCGGAACCAACAGAAGAAAACGGTGCAGGCTCGCCAATTTTTTTTCTGCGTTAGCCTTGGCCCAAATCCGCATGTTTGGGGAACCCGGGTCTTTCAAAGAGTAATTTCGACAGACATAATAGAAGGAAAAAAACAAAATAGAAATAGAAAGGCAAAATGAAAGAGAAATGGAAATAAGGAAATAGAAATACATATGAGCTTTCTCCTGCAAGGATAAAACTTTACTGTGTCAAACGTTGAAACTGCAATGTCCAGTTGTCGCAGCTTCAGATTCATGTTTTACTTGTAGTTGGGCTCAGCTCCAGTTTCTTTTTCGTGGTTGGGTTTCCCCTGGTGAGGCGGGAGAAGAGCCCAAGCAGTCCGAGCCTGCTGTCCCTGAGCCTGACCCTGTGGTCCCAGAAGTTCCTGTCACTTCGACAGTCCCGGTTGTTCCTGATGAACAGTTCCGCAAGCTGGACCACAAGTTGCTGTACATGCTCATGCAGCTCCAGGACACATTCGAAACGTTGCAGCGCCCGGACTCCTATGAGGCCGCCTTCAAATTGATGAAGCGACGCCTGCATCAGCTGACACCGGATGATGTCCGTGCAGCCAAGCGCCAACGAGTCCTACGAGCTGACGCCCCACTTCGAATGTCCTGGGATTGATTTTCCTGTTTACCTGTGCCTCCGATGAGGGGGGGTTGGCGAGTCAAGGTTCCTTAGACAGTTTTGGAAATCAGCTGGACATGTCGTTTGGCTGCGATCAATGCTCGAGCCTTGCATTTTGCCTTGACAGTGGTTTTGGACTGGCTAGGAACCTAATCGAACTTTTCCAAATGAAACCTATTTGCTTTGGCGCTCGCTTTTGTGGTGAGCAATCTTTGCATGTGGCTTGGAGTTGCACAGCATGATCCTTTTGAACTTCTTGTTCATGGCGCCTGGATTGCGGCCACCAGTGTCGATGCAATATATGGCAAAGCCCATCGTCTCACCTTAGAGCTCAGCGAAAAGTGGCTGGCTGAATCTGGTTGATCATTGCGGGATGTCTGCAATTGCGGGATGTCTGCATCATTGACACATCATGTGACATGTCCATGTGGTCCATGTGTTTTCAACCTGGTTTGGCTTAAGCATTTTTCTTTGGACGCGTTGACCTTCTGTCGGCTATGAACTAATCTTTTTCTATCCTTTCTTGTGCATCGCAATTATTATGTTTCCGAAAGAGCGTAGTAATCAATGCATATGGACTTGGTTTCTCTCTCCGGCCCTGACGTCTTGGTGTGGTGCCCTTTTTCCTGCAAAGGTACGGGCCTCCTGCCAAGGAATCATGTAACCCGACAGAATGCAATGGTGCATATGTGCTCACTGGGATGTCCAGTTCATGATGTGGTACCTCACCCGGATGTCGGTGCAGGTGGTGGGATTCGCTCCGTGCCAACCTCATTTGAGGAGCATGTGAGATTTTTCATTCAGTTCATGTGATTTCATGTCTGTTGATGTAGGTTCTTCTCAACCCATGTGCATGAGAACCCAATAGCACCACACAAGGTTGGACCTATACCTGCGACGTCATGGGCCTAGAGTGTTGTGCGGGATGTCCCACATGCTTCCAATGTACAACTTGTTGACTTGTGAGTCTCATTGACATTCATCAGGCCTGGACCCGGTGTGGGATTGGAAGGCGCTGGTCAGGCCAGGGTAGTAGGGATGTCCTACAGATGTGCACTGTGCCTGAATGATTTGACATAGAGTAATGCACTGGCAGGTGCCTCGATTGTGGCCATTGCAGCGGGGGCCCTGTGCCCGGAACTGCAAGAAGGCCGGTGAATCCCTGGATGTCCAGGGTGGGCACTTGATCGCGTGGCCCGTGAAATTTCAAAAGCTCTCTTTTGGTCATATCACCACTTCAGCCGATGTGGCAGGTCGAAGTTTGATGCGGCTTAATGGATGGTTGCTGAAGCCCTGGATTCTCGCCGTGCAGGCTGGTGTGCCGGGCAGCACATGTGAACAAATGATACATGATGGATTTAGATTCACCTGACATCGGATAGCATATCATGTATCTTGACGAGTTCACCTGAACAGGTTGGACTGATGGGGGCACACGCGTCTCTCCAGATGGACCGTTCGGATGCGGGACGACCGCTGTCCGATCGTGAGAGAGGCTGATGCATGCCATGTTAGAAGAGAGTCATCATAGTTGTGCATCAGCTCCTGATATTGCTCTGCCGTGGGAAATGCCAGCACTGTCCATGGTTTTTGGAGAGCCAAATAGGCCAATTGTCCCTCCAGTCAGGCCTGTGATGGGGTATGTAGAGCCCCCAGTGAGGAAACCGGGCCTGAACGAGCTGTGACTGTGCATCCAAAGGCTACTTACTGCCTTTGAACATGCAATCAGCTTCAATTCGAAAAGGACTTGTCACCTTCCAGAGTCTGAACAGTTCCTTCTCTTGATCCAGAAGTGGGAGGCTGTCATCTCCATTGATCCCAGAGCGTTTGACCTTGGGGTCGACGTTGAGGGCCTTCTGTATGAGGAAAGGCTTTCGGTTGTTCGAGATGTCCTTGGTGGAAAGGCCATTGCAATGTCAGACAAAGGCTCAGTCAATTGAGTCAGTACATCAAGTGGGCTACTGGAGAAGCCAGATGACCCCCGTTCCCGGTGACTTCGGAACTTGTCAAGAATTATGTTCGGCACTTACGGAACATTGAGGCAACATTTTCGAAATACACTGGATTTCTGGAAACGCTCAAGTTTTCAAAATATGTGGTGGGCCTTGACTGCGATTTGGAAGCCTTCAAATCGGCATGGGTGTCGAGTGTCGGGCATCATGCGGGTTGCTGGGCAGACCAGACCTTTGCGCAGACAGTCGTCCGTGTTGACCGTAGAGGCCCTCCTTTTCCTCGAGTCGGTTCTTGAGAATCAACAGATTGCAGGGGTTGATCGATATGCAGTGGGTGTCACCCTGTTTGCGACGTACTCGAGGGCTAGATTTGGTGACCTCAGGAGCATTGCATCCATTTTGATTGACGAGGTTCCCCCAAACAAGGAGGAAAACATTGGTTTCCTGGAGATGCACTCGGCATCACACAAGATGCGGGCAACAGGCAACCGCCTAGGCTCCCATCTACCTTTGGTGGCCCCACTGGAGGGCTTTGGGGCCGACATCCTGGGGAAAAACATTCATCAAGGTTGGCAAGGAAGTGGGTCTGGACATGAGCAATTGGCATCCATTCTGCCCACTGTTACCTGCGCCTGACCAACTGGGAGCGTGGACAGGTAGGCTAACTACTTCTGGTGAAACGAACCGTTGGATAAAACGGATCCTCATGCCATGCAAGTTCGATGCCTCCGATTTTACCCCCCATGGGCGCAAAGCTACAATATTGGCTATGTTGTCGAAGTATGGTGCAGAAGCCGACGTCAGACTGGCGTTGGGACATCACCAGATCCGAAAGGGGGCAGCTGAGTTATATGCAAGAGATACTCAGTCTGCCCCCCTCAGGGTATTGGAGGCAATCGACATTCGGAAAGGCCACTTTCAGCCAGACCAATCTCGGTCAGGCATGTTCCGCAAGGATGTGCGTATGGCAGATCAGCCGGGCGGCCAAGTCTTGGTGACGGACATCCCGCTGCCAGCCCAGGAAGATGGGTACTCCCCTGGATCACTTGCTGAGAGCTGGAACCTCGAAACTTTGGAAACATCAGCACCCCCTGCTGTGCCAGAACCTTCTGAAGCAGTGGATACAATTTCTTGCGACTCAGATGATAGTGATTCATCGAGTGATTCGGAAGCGGACAGTTGTGCAACGGAAACCCTGGAGGAGCAAGCCAAGAACATTCCAGAAGTTCAACCACCCGCTCAGAAAAGCACACCAAAAATGTACCAGCACAAGAAGTCCAAAGTGGTCCACTATGCATCTCTGTTCGGCACATCCTTCACCTGTGGAAGGCAGCTGACTCAAGAGTATCGAGCATGTTCTGACAGACTCGTGATAGACTCAATGAGGTGTCAGCAGTGCCCGAGACGAGTTGATAGCAGAACGCATGATGGTGACCTCGAAAACATGGAGGCCGTAGTGAAACGCTCCCGGCGTCAATGAAGACTTGAAATAGATGGAAAAAGCGGCCTGTGCGTTTAAATGTTGATGTGAGTCATGCGATGTGCATGACAATTGAATCTCCAGATTTGCATGTCATTGAATGCAGTGTGCATGAGTTGGCATGATGAAATGTGCATCAAAACGCTGCAGCCCCAAAAAAAAACCTTTTGACATGACAATGAGATTCAGGATTTTTATTTCAAACAAGAAAAGGGAGGAAACAGTGTGTCACCGCCAATGTGTCACATGTTTGTCTTTTCTATCAATCCTGATCTTCCGGCATGGCGACGATCCTAGAGTCCCGAGCAGCGTTTGAGGCAAGAGCCCTGGAACACGGAATCACACAAGACCAACTGGACAGACTCAAAGCGAAGGGCCTGATCAACTTATCGAAATTGGCCTTCTCTATCTCAACACCAGGAACCAGCCCAGAAGATGAGTCTCTGAAATTGCTGGTCAATGACGATCCAGATCTGGTCACAGTGGGTCAGCCGGCCTCTATCAGGAGGCTCATGTTTGACGCACAAACCCTATGTGCGTCTCAGGTAAAACACATTTTGGCTGGGACAGAATCTACAAGGACATCGGAGCTTGTCCCTGCAGAAAGGGCTAGCCAAGAAGAACCTGCAGCTGTTCCATGAAATATTTGTGGCTTCCGGGTCCCCTGATGTTGGCCTGGCCTCAAACATTGCTCGTGGTTTTGACCTCATGTGCGACATCCCTCTAGTGGGCTTTGTCTATCCAGAAAAGGCCACTCATGCCACTCTACTCCCTGAGCAAGTCAGAGACATGGCCAGTGTGGCACGTGCAGCAATTTGGGAGGCGACAAAGAAGGTGGTGGAGCCTGAGATCACCGAAGAGGTGTACAAGATCACTATGGAAGAGCGAGACAGGGGCTGGCTGCGTGGGCCTTTTTCTTTGGATCAGCTCCCACAGAATGCTGTTCTGTCCAGGAGATTTGGAGTCAAACAAACATCCACTATGGCAGATTGTCGTCGGGTCTCTAAGGTTCGGCCAATAGATGATTTCTCGGAGATCCTTGTGAATTCAACCAACTCTTGCAGAAAAGCTATACAGCCCATGAGTGTGGACGCCATACTTGCAGCCTTGGCATACAGGGACCATGCCTGGGGCAGAGAGGAACTGCGGGCCAAGACTATCGACCTGCGGAAGGCGTGCAAGAACTTGGCGGTGTCGAACGAGGCGACGGAAGATGCATACTTGTGCGTCCTGTGCCCGACGGATAGGCAACCGAGAGCCTTCCAGGCCCTTGTATTGCCATTTGGTGCCAGAGCTGCGGTCATGGGATTTTGCAGGACGTCCTACGCCATCTGGCGGATTGGGGTGTCCATTCTTGCCTTGCACTGGGCGGTGTTCTTTGGTGACTACCACCTGGTGGCCTCCACGCCTGAGATCAGGCATGTTGACATGGCCCAACAGTTGTTGTTCAAAATTCTGGGCTGGGAAACGTCTTCAGAAAAAGAGGGGGACTTCTTGGCAATCTCCAAGATCCTGGGTGTGCAGATAGATCTCAACGAATCAATGCTGGGCCGTTTTGCAGTCAGCAATGTGGCTGCAAGGGTCAAAGAACTGGTAGCCAACATTGACACCATTCTATCCGGAGCGACCCCGGCGGCAGCTGAGATGAGGGTCTTGAGAGGCTAGCTTGTGTTTGCTGAAGCTCAAATATACGGCCGCCTGGCCGGTCTTCACATGCAACACCTTGGGCGTTGGGAGCATGCCATAGGAGAGACAGCAGTGGATGAAGACCTCAAGACTAGCCTGGAGTTTGTCAGAGATCGGGTCATTTGTGGTCGGCCGAGAGTGGTTGATGCAAATCCAGGGCGTGTCTTCCACCTCTATACGGATGCCTGCTATGAAAATCTATGTGGCGGTGTTGGAGGTGTCCTCTTTGATGAGAGCGGAACAATGCTCTCGTACTTCTCAGCGCAGATATCACAAAACCAAGTCATGAGATTGAATCCCCTCAGGAAAGACACCATCATCTTTGAACTCGAAGCCTTAGCAGCATGGTTGGGAGGATACTTCTTGCTTCAATCTGCTGCGGTGTGTCCAAATGACAGGGTGGTGGTTTTTCTTGACAATGATGGGGTGCTTGGTCGCATAATCTCTGGCAAGAGCGGGCTTGGATTGGATGGCCTGATCATCAATGGGATCCTTGAATGGGAGTACTCTCTCAGGGCACTTGTTTGGTACGAAAGATTTCCTTCAGCTGCCAATATTGCAGACCCACCTTCTCGTGGGGAACTTATTGGCTTCCGCAAGGAGCTGAGGGTAGAGCTTGACATCGACTGTGCTCTGAACGAGCTTTTGAATCCAAACCTCATTGGATGAGATGTACACGTACCGATCAAAACAAGCCCACGTGACGATGTGTCAGCATATAGTTGGCGATGTGTCGACTAGGAAAACAGGGGAGGGCAGTCGACGACAACCCCACTTCGCGTGAAAAAGTGCTGAGCCTGCAGTCTGAAGATGTGCAAGTGAGACACAATAAGAGCTTTCTCCTGCAAGGATAAAACTTTATTGTGTCAAACGTTGAAACTGGAATGTCCAGTTGTCGCAGCTTCATATTCATGTTTTACTTGTAGTTGTGCTGAGTTCCATTTTCTTTTTCGTCCCACCCTCCCTGTACCCTTCAATTCCCATTTTTCTCACATTCATGTGGAAACTTACATCACATGGGCATTACATTCTCTTTGTAGTGCCTGTGCCTGTGCCGCCATCGTTGCAGTCTCTCTTGCGCCCTGCGCTGCTGATTGAGCGCTTCGAAGCTCGCTTGCAGGACCACCACGATTCCCCGCTGGCCATCCTCAATGAGTTGCCTTTGAGCTTCGGCCAACCTCGACTGCATCTGAGACAGGCGATCCGATCTGTGAGTTTGAGCCTGGATGAGCTCCGATTAGCCAAGTTAGTTGCTTTCATCAATTTTCTTCAGCGCTTGAAAGCTTTCATTACCAAACACCGTCAAATGCCAGCGGTGGAGGATTCTGAAAGTTCGGAGCCATGATGGCCCAACGATACAGAGAAGATTAGCATGCCCCAGGCACTTTTCATCCAACTGATTTTCCATGCAATGTGCTCCATTTTCTTTTGTAGAACCTGGGCCGGATTTTGCCTACCCAGCCGTCCGGGCAGTCGACGACAACCCCACTTCGTGTGAAAAAGTGCTGAGCCTGCAGTCTGAAGATGTGCAAGTGAGACACAATAAAAACATATAAATCAAAAATTTGGAAATAGACATAAACCAAAAAAACATTGGAAATGGGAATGGGAATGGAAATGGACATGGACATGGAAATAAAAAATGGCAATAAATAGAATGGAACATAATAGAACACAATAGAGTAGAAATAGGATATACATAGAAATGAAAACAAAAACAAAAACAGGACCAAAAAAAACATAGAAAGAAAACACAATTGAAATGGAAGGAAAAAATAGAAAAAATAAAAATGGAAGAAAATAGAGCGAATAGAATGGAATAGAAAAGAACAGAAGACTAGAGAAGAGAAGAGACTAGAAATAGAAATTGAAATAGAAATAGAAATAAAAATAAAAATAAACATACAAATAAAAATAGATATAGAAGTAGAAATAGAAATAAAAAACGGAAACAAGAAAAAACACAGAAATAAAATAGAATAGAAAAGAACAGAATAATATGGAATAGAATACAATAGACCAGAATAGAAGAGAATAGAATAGCAGGAAAAAAACGAACACCATATAATAATCATATATAATATCCAGCACAGAGAGAGAGTCATATTATATATGTACATACATACATACATGCATGCATAGATGGATGGATGGATGGATAGATAGATAGATACATACACACATACATACATAGATACATACACACACAAAAAAAGGAACAGAATCGAATAGAAATGAAACAAATGGAATTGATAATGAACATGGTTACAGTGGACACGAAATAAATGAATAGAACAAAATAGAAACACAATAATTAGAATGGAACAGAAGAGAAGTGAAAGAACGGAAAAGTGTAGAACTGAAATGACATGAATTGAAGTGAGCCAAATAAAACGAAACAGAAAAATCGAACAGAACGGAATGGAATAGAAGAGAATAGAGTATAATAGAGTAGAGTAGACTAAAGTAAAATAGAATGGAATGGAATAGAACTGAATAAAATATAGAATAGAGTAAGGTAAAGTAGAGTAGGGCAGAGGAGAGTAGAGTAGACTAGACTAGATTAGAGCAGACCAGAAAAGAATAGACTAGAGTAGAGTAGACTAGAGTAAAGCAGAGCAGAGCCCGAGTAGACTCGAGTAGCTTCAAGTAGGGTCGACTAGACTCGAGTAGAGTCGAGCAGAGTCGAGTCGAGTAGAGAGTAGAGAGTAGAGAGTAGAGAGTGTAGAGAGTGTAGAGAGTGTAGAGAGTGTAGAGAGTGTGGAGAGTGTGGAGAGTGTGGAGAGTGTGGAGAGTGTGGAGAGTGTGGAGAGTGTGGAGAGTGTGGAGAGTGTGGAGAGTGTGGAGAGTGTGGAGAGTGAGAGAGTAGAGAGAGTAGAGAGAGTAGAGAGAGAGTAGAGAGAGTAGAGAGTGTAGAGAGAGTAGAGAGAGTAGAGAGACTAGAGAGTAGAGAGAGTAGAGAGAGTAGAGAGAGTAGAGAGAGAGTAGAGAGAGAGAGTAGAGAGTGTAGAGAGTGTAGAGAGAGTAGAGAGGAGTAGAGAGACTAGAGAGTAGAGAGAGTAGAGAGGTAGAGAGAGTAGAGAGAGTAGAGAGAGTAGAGAGAGTAGAGAGAGTAGAGGGAGTAGAGAGAGTAGAGACTGTAGAGAGAGTAGAGAGTGTAGAGAGAGTAGACAGAGTAGAGAGAGTAGAGAGAGTAGAGAGAGTAGAGAGAGTAGAGAGTGTAGAGAGAGAGTAGAGAGAGTAGAGAGAGTAGAGAGAGTAGAGAGAGTAGAGAGAGCAGAGTAAGTAGAGTAGGGGGTAGAGAGAGTAGAGTAGGGGGTAGAGAGAGTAGAGTAGGGAGTAGAGAGAGTAGGAGTAGACTAGGGAGTATAGACTTAGAGTGTAGAGTATGGAATAGAGAGTAGGGAGTAGGGAGTAGAGTAGATAGAGTAGATAGAGTAGATAGAGTAGATAGAGTAGATAGAGTAGACAGAGTAGATAGAGTAGATAGGGTAGACAGAGTAGATAGAGTAGATAGAGTAGATAGAGTAGATAGAGGGAGTAGATGAAGTAGATAGAGTAGATATAGGAGAGTAGAGTAGATATAGGAGAGTAGAGTAGATAGAGGAGAGTAGAGGAGAGCAGAGGAGAGGAGAATAGATAGAGGAGAGTAGAGGAGAGAGTAGATAGAGGAGAGTAGAGGAGAGCAGAGGAGAGCAGAGGAAAGCAGAGGAGAGGACAGTAGAGTAGAGGAGAGTAGAGTGGAGGAGAGTAGAGGAGAGGGGAGGAGTAGAGGAGAGAAGCGGAGAGGAGCGGAGAGTATATAGAGCAGAGCAGAGCAGAGTAGAGCAGAGTAGAGCAGAGTAGCGTAGAGTAGCGCAGAGTAGAGTAGCGTAGAGTAGCCTAGAGTAGCGTAGAGCAGCATAGCGTAGCGTAGAGTCGCGTAGAGTCGTGTAGAGTCATGTAGAGTCGCGCAAGAGTCGCGTGTAGCGTAGAGTAGAGTAGAGTAGAGCAGAGTAGAGTAGAGTAGACTAGACTAGATTAGAGTAGAGTAGAGCAGAGCAGAGTAGAGTAGAGTGAAAAAAATAGATAGACGAAACGAAACTAGTCCTACCAACTTTTTGTTTTCCGTTTTGTTTCTGTTTGGTTTTTCTTTGGTTCAGTTTCGGATTCGCTGCTTGCCCTGACTGCTACGGGAAGGCACCAAAGCGAAGGCCAAACCTCGGACGAAAAAGAAAAACAAAAACGATGCGAAACTCAGCAGCCTTCGGCATCATTTGTCCACTTCAAACTTCAATTCATTTTTATTTTTGACAGTTTTTAACCCGTTGCCTCAGGCATTTTTGTTCATCTTGGTTTATCTTGCCCGCAGCGATAGTCACGGTGCCTAGTTTGGCTCCCAGTCTTTTGCCGTGCTACTGAGGAAGGCTGAGACAAGAACCGAGGTTCCCCTGGAATCCCTGGTGGAGGTCAAAGCGCGCGTGTCAAGGTTTCATCGTGAGGCGGTGGAAGATGAGTTGCTCGCCATTCATGTGGGGATCCAATGTGCAGATGCTGAAATAACATGAAATAGCAGATTACGTTGGGAATAATTACTATAATTACTGAAAAACTGGGAGTAGTTTCTTTCATCATCTCTGTAGTCAATGTCTCATGAAGCCAACAAGCCAACAGGTCGGTTCTGCATTATGAAGCAGTGCTGGAGTCTATTTTCTTTGAGCTGTGCTTGGGTTGGCAGAATGCTCAGAATGCTGTCTTTCTGAGGATCAGCTCTGCCGTAGCTGAAGTGGACGTCCACGATCTCTGCATCTCCGTGGCTGGCCGAGATTTGCTGAAGGATGCCCATTTGAAGCTTTGCCCTGGGCAACGCTATGGTTTCGTTGGTCGAAACGGATCAGGGAAATCCACCCTCTTCCGATCGATGGCGTCGGGGCGAATCCCCGGCTACCCAGCCAACTGCGTGACGCTGCTGGTGGACCAAGAGGATGTAGGAGATGAAAGAACAGCAGTGGAGACCGCGACCAAACTGAGCTGAGTGCAATCATTTTACTGGGATCCGTGTGTTTCTCTTCATGCATTGATTCCTTTGTAGTTGATCCCATCTAGCTTCCATGCTCCATCAGTATCCATCATTTGTTTTTAGGATCTCTTAGTGTTCCTTTGTTTTCCCTATGTGTTGTTTCTTGATCCTTCTGATTCAAGTGATTTTCGCCGAGGTGGTATCTGCTCACAAGGAACTCCAGGAGCTGTTGGAAGAGGAAATCTCCCTGGCGCTGGTGCACAGTGGATCTGCTGTGGATGCTGTGAAGGCCTTGAGGAAACACGAGCACCTCTTGGCTAAACGGAGTCTCTTCAAGGCCGTGGCTAGGCTTGCGCTTCAGATGTCACGTTTCTATTTTCTTCTCCTTGTCCCAATTTGTCCCAACTTGTCCCAACTTATTTCCTGCCTTTGTGATCATTTGTGTTGCAACCTCACGCTTGTTTCTGACAGTACGGCCCCGTACGGCCCCGCCACACGAGTTGCAAAAAATGTATAGCTCGTGCTCTTTTTTCTGGCGGGGCTCCACTCAGCAAACTGCCAAGTCAGCTTCAGGACTCCAAACATGGATGAAAACCAACTTGAAGCACCTTGATTTTCCTAGATTGCCTAGGCATTTGGATGTTCTCTTGGATTTCAAGATATTTCAAGTGTTTTTGGGGGCTAGGCCATGTACGAGAGCAAGCTGAGTGGCCTCCGTGGCAAAGCTGCGCGAGAAGCCCTACTCGAAGCCGAAGCGCAAGAAAAGAAAGCGGCTGAAGCGTTGGAAGCTGAGGCAACTTGGCCACCTTGGTGACCTTGGCGAACTCGAGTATAACTTGGTCCATGACTGGGTCCATGACTTGGCAACTCAGATATATAACTCAGACCAGGTTAGTTTCAGTGTTGGAAGATGTTGGAGCGACAGGAACCCAGAGTCAACTCAGAGTCAACGCTGTGCGACCCTGTGACAGCTGTGACAGGTGCAGGCTGAGGAGGGAACGGCAGCGGTGCAGGCCAAGGTGGTGGAGATCTTGGCAGACATACGAGATCGACTGCGGATCCTTGGGGCGGACTCAATGAAAGGGCGAGCCGAAGTGATTCTGAAGGGCCACTTGTCAACGTTGAGATTTGTTGAGATGAATGTATTTTGCGGTGTTAAGACATGTATGAAAGGTTGCATCTTCCGCCCTCCGCATTTTGAGTATATCAGGTGTATAACCGTATAAGAATCAGATATATCAGGTATATCAGTGCATCCAAACGTGGAGAATCCTCTTTTGTAGCCTTATCAGTGCCTTCGTGAATTATGTTCCGCATGATGTTTACTGTTCATCTTTGACCAACTCAGCACCGGACCGAGGCTTGGGTTTCGAAGAGATTGACCTCCAGAAACCAACACGGCTTCTCAGTGGTGGATGGCGCATGCGCGTGGCATTGGCCAAGGCATTACTAGCCAAGCCCAATGTTCTGCTATTGGATGAGCCGACAAACCACTTGGATTGGCAAGCCATCCTTTGGTTGGAAAAATATTTGGTCTCAGAGGAATTGAATGAAGTGGCCCTGGTGGTGGTTTCGCACGATCGGGATTTCCTGGACAAAGTGAGTACCATGACTCTTCGGCTTTTCGAAATGAAGCTGCAGGTCCACTCAGGCAAGGCGGCTTGACATGCATCCACAACCCAGAAGATGAATGAAGATGAGGGGCATTCTTCCAGAATCTAGGAGTGAAACATGCTATTTGCAGCCGCCTTACGTTCATAGCTTCAGAATGATTCCAAACAAACAATCTTTCGCCAGGCAACTATTCCACCTTCGAGGATGCCCATGAGCGAGATCAGCAGCACCGAGCAGAACTGGCACAGCGGCAGCATGACAAGCAAGACAAGATGGAGAAGCAAGTCAAGGAGATGGAGCTGCTCGACAGATCAATCTGTGAGAATTTTTGGGAACTTGTCATAACCTGTCTTTTATATTCTATCATATTATATTACATTACATTACATTACATTATGTCTTTAAAAATCCTTCTCGGAAGAGATTCCTTTTGCATCCTTTTGCTGCTTGTGTGCGGCATGGGATTTGAAGCGGAGGCAACGTGGCAGAAAGACCAACAACGAGAACTTGCTCAAGGCGGTGGCGAGCCGACGCACAAAGCTCGGCTTGGACGATAAGCCCTGGTCCTTCAACCGCGTTGGCTTAGAACGAGCAGGAGGTCACAAGTTCAAATTTAGCTATAACACGGTTGGTGCAGCCATGGAGCAGCTCCAGGTGGAGAACAAGGACACCATGGCCAGTGAGAAGTTTTGATACGGGACAGGTTGACTTAAACTGTTTAAACTGATAAAATGTGCACCATCAAAGAAGAATGGTGTACCATGGCTGTTGCTGCCGGTGACGTTGCCGTTGCCATTGACACCAGGAACAGGCAGTGCGGCTGAAATTGAAGGCTGCTGGAGCTTTGGGCTTTGAGGCAGCTCTGCTTCAATGCCGCGACGTGGTGGTGGGCTATGACCCCTGGCTGGAAATGGTGTGAAACATGTTGAAATTTAAGGTGGACATGGCATTTCAATTTTGTTGTTGCTACACAGGGATGGATTCACTCGAACTTGTGCGAGACAAGGACAAATTGGCTCCGCTGATAAAGAAGTTTGACCTTGACATCCGAGCTCAATCTCGCATTGGAGACGTGGCAACACAGCGCAGAGGTATCATTTGTGCCCTTGGGTTTTCGTGCTGAAAACATTTCGAAATATTTCGAACATTGTTTTGAAAACATTTGATATTGTTTGGTCAGATGGGCCATTGACAGCTGCTCTCCCACACTTGGATCAAACACAGAGTCGGAAAAGTGTTGCGCAAAGCAGTAGATTAATTCTGTCGAGATGTGTTCTGTTGAGCACATGGGGCTCATAAAGTCTCCTTACGCTGATCCTTGAGAAGTTAACTGAGCTGACTTGCACTGACACAAGGCTTCAGGGCTTAACGGCTCAACAAGAGAATTTTGCAAGTTTTTTCTTGACTTTTTTCCTCCAGGAATTCTGGGCGTGAACGGCAGTGGCAAGACCACTCTGCTGCGAACCTTAGTGGGCGAGCTGGCCTGCCTCTCGGGTGAAGTCTATCAGCAACCACGCACCTTGGTTCACCTTGGTCTGAGCCAATATGATCTACTATACACACACACACATATATATATATATATTAATATATATATATGTGATTCGTAAGATTGCACAATATATTGCAATATTATGATTATCATGTTGCATTTATAGGCTCATCCAAACAAAAACGCCTGGGAAGATGACCTGGTAGATCAATAGTAAATTATATAAGTTCCATTGCCAGTTGTCATTCCGATTCTCCGGAGAAAGCGGACACTTTGTGTGGGACATCCCGGGACTAGGTGTGGTAGTGGGTTTCTTCAACCAGCACCAGGCCAGAGGGATTTGTCTCACGTTGTATTTTTAGTGTCTCCGTTTGAGCCACGTCCGGGGGGAGGCGGATGACCTGCCGAACGATGCAACACCCTTGGAATCGTTGTGCGAAAGTAAGATGCTTGGAATCGTTGTGTCAAACAAGGTGACATATGGTGACATTCGCATGGCAGAGTGTCGCATTTGCGGTTTATCATGGTTTATCATGGTTTATCTTTTTTCGAAGCCCGGTCTGAGGTCATCCAAATTTGAAGGACCACGAGGTCCGAGCACATTTGGGCAGCTTTGGCCTGGGACGCCTTGCTGTTCAACCCATCAAGCCGCTGGGCTGAAACGGGGGATGGCGGGCATGCTGTGTTCCATGGAATGTCTTTGGGTTTGCCATGAACATTCGGTTGAGTCTCAGACTGAGAGGGCTCAGAGGGCTCAGAGGACAAGGTGGCAGTACATGGAGAGATGGCCACGCCACTGTTGCCAGGTCCCTATCTGGTGGAGAACGAAGTCGCGTGGCCTTGGCAGCTGCGACCTTGAGAGCGCCTCACGTGCTGGTCGCAAACTGAGATGGTGGGATGTCCATGGGATTGGTTTTCAACTAGCTATATAATGTTATATACTAGTTTTTGATTCTTCGAGTTTAAGAGATGAGTGGATTCTGTCATTGTCCATTCTCTATATTCTCTTTGGATTCTGCTCCTCTCCAAACATCTCCAAACGATCAAAGCCAGGTCTTGGACGAGCCGACCAACCACTTGGACCTGCAGACCGTTGAAGCCTTGGGAGAAGCTTTGAAGGCCAGCTGAAGCAGCTGAAACACTGCGGCGCCGCGGTGCTTCTTGGGAAATGGATGGAAATGCCTTGGGAAACAGGAATGCAGATGAATTGAGGGAAATGTAAGTAGTCCAAAGTCTTATCACAAGTTACTACTTTTCTGGTAGGTAGATGCTGCCAGATGCTTCTTCCAGCTTTTCGCAGGAATTTGAGGGAAGCGTGGTGGTCACTTCCTACGATCGTCGTTTGCTGCGAGAGGTTTGTCAAGTTTCCCAGCTGCAAGAGCCCCTGGCCTCACGAGACCTTGATTGTGACACCGTGAAACTGTTCATTTTTGCATTGCTTTTCCGCTTGTGTGTGCCTAGTTGTGCCAAGTAGGGTTTGGCTCAGCTTTGCATGTTGCCCAAGACACGTCAGGACTTCTACTCAGTGAAGGACAAACAGCTAGTGAAAGTGACGCTGGAGTCTTTTGTCCGCTCGGTTAGGTGATAAACCATCTGTGCTGGGCTGCTGCTTCTAGGGCAAGCCAGAGTTTCACTCGTATTTCATTTTGCTTTGAAGTGGCCGGAGGCCGTTCAATCATTAGTTGCCAATGGGAAATGGTGTACAGTGTACAGATCGCAACGCGATTGCCCAATCAGCATGGTAGCGTGGAAAAACTTAAGCAGCGGAGCATGCAGGGAAGCTGTTACAGAAGCATCCAAAGGCCTTCAAATGCAAAGGTGCAGCGCATCAAGGCCTTAGAAGATCTTTCTAGAAGGCTCGGCCTGTGTTCACCAGCGACATTTGTGAGGACCGCTGTTGCTTTCCTGCCAAATCTTGCAGAGCAACCCCGCTCCCTTTTCTGTCTCAAAAGTAGGAGTTTTGTAGCGAAAGTTTGGCGCTGGAACAGCTAGTGTGCAAAGACTTGCATGAAACGCCGGAGAGCAAAGCCTCTCAATCATAAGCATGAGAGTTGAGATGAGAGTGATGACTTCAAACACTTGGTTCCAGAATTCCAAGCTCCATCCTTTTTCTTTGGATTTGTTTGATTTCCACCCCTGCCATGCTCTTCTTCATCCTGAGTCTTTGGATCTTGGTGGAGGCTTTAACTTTCTCAGCTTTCCTCGTTTCATGCTCAAATCGAAGTCATGCATTGGTCATTGGTCACTTGTGATTGGCAGGGCCATGGAAATAGTGGTTCTGAGCACAAACCCTGGAGATTTGGTTCATTGCTCAGTGGAAGTGATGTTGGATAATTTTGACAGTAAACTTTTGGTATGTTGAGACACATGGGCCATCAAATTTCAAAGCAACTTCAAAGCAGTGATTAGACTGATTAGACCATTCTCATTGTACTAGCCTGGGCCATCGAATCCTATGCTGCGTTAATTTGGGCTGCTTTAGGTGCCTTCATCGATGGAGGCGCGCAGCCGCGCAGCCTGACGATGTGACTGCAAGGCCAATGCATAGATGGCCATTTATGCCATGTGAGGTAGCGAGGGCTCTCGTATTTATGTACTCCGGTGGCGCCCCACGGCGACTCCCGGTAGTGTCTCGCTCAGACTAGTTGTGTCAAGTTGTGTCCCAGGTGCAGCTACAAAATGCAAGATAGATCCAAATTGCCCCAAGGCGAGATTATCTGTCCTGAAGTCGTAGGTGACTCGAGCTTCTCGGCCTGAGCGACAGCTGTGCACTCAAATGGACCATGCTGGAACCATCCTGGAACCATCCTGGAACCATCCTGGAACCATCCTCATTTTGCTAAATGTGTTTTCATTCACAGGTCGTGTCACATGATGACAGTGCAAGCCGCTGCAAGCCCTTGTGTCATTGATGCCGTTCGCCGTGCACATCCGTGCACCAGGTGTAGTTCCAGGCGTTGCATCCTTTGCTTTAAAACCCCATGATGTGGGCTCATCCCTGAAGCCATTGCTTCAATATGCAATGAAACTCTTGCACTCGGAAACTTGGCACATCATTTGTCAGGAAAGCCCGTGGGAAAAGTGCGAAGTAAAAAACTAAAACTCGACGAATCTCGACGGATCTGAGGAGAAAGACGACTGGGCAAAGATTCCAGTCTATCTTCGTGCTACCGCTGGCATGCGTTTGCTCTTCCCAGATGAGCGAGAAAACATTTTGGAGACTTGCAGAGCCAAGGGTGAGCACATGCTCGGGCCATTTGCCGTCGCTAAGTTGATGACACCGACAGACTGAGGAGCATGTTCGCTCCTACTTCCGAACCTTGCCTTTTCACTTCCGCCAGCAGCTCAGCCGGGTTTTCACTGGAATTTTCCTGGAGTGCTGGCAGCAAGGAAATGAAATGGCCTCGGTGGCTACTGGCGAGGCAAAGTCGCATTCGTGTCGGCATGCTGCGGTCATGATATTCAGTGTTGCTCTCTGGACAGGAGGAGGGCGTTTTTGGTTGGATTTCTGCGTGGGGACCTTAAGTCCAGACGGCCGATGGCAAACAGTTGGCAACTCTGAAGAAACCAGGAACTACTTGATGGGAAATCTCAAGCCTGACGAGGTCGGGCCAATGGGCCAATTACACATTCCTTATGATTCCTAATCCAGAACAGACTTGCCGATTTGCAATTTTTTTGCTGTGATCTTGGGATATCTTGAGATCTCCGAGACGGCAGGTTCCAACCTCTCAGACGACCATTGGCTCCTTGGATTTGGGTGGAGCCTCAGTGCCTCAGCCGCAAAGCGCTGTGGACAGTAGATGCGGACAGTAGATACGCTGGTAAGCTGCTAGTAGATAGCCGTAGGATCAGTGGTTCCTTTTCCGTTTCGATTCTGGAGATCAACCTGTCCAGTGTCTGTCCAGGCACAAATCGTCTTCATGCCGCAGAAGTCGACAATCCAGCATGCCTTTCCACTCCACTTGGGTGCTGACCTCAATGTGGACACCTGGCATTGGCATCTTAGAATCGTTTTGTACTTTTGTACCAGTGCCGTCCAAGATGTCCCTGAGGTCCTCACCGCGTCCAACTCTACTCCTATTCCTTCTTACATTTTGGTATAAGAGAGGCTTGACCTTCTTACATTCTCAGCAATTGTCTTAGTGATCTCTTGGCTCTGGACCTCACCGGATGAGCGACAATTTGTCAATTAGAGCGAAAGGATCCAGAAATGAAGTTCCAGACATCCCAGACGTCATCAGCTGGCAGGCTGCCCACCGCACAGCCAGCGTTGTCATTTCTGATGCGCTGTTGTCTGTGCAATCGGAGTCTCGCTTTGATTATGCTTGGGATGCCTGGGAGGGCGGAATCAGGTTCAAGGCTCCTCCAAGTTGAAAGGTCTCAGCAATCACTTTAGCGGAACTTTAGCGATGGTCTTTGTTTGTCTTCCGTGGAGTCATGACGGTTCCAGTTTGTAACAGCCGCGGCCCTAAGGAGGCAACGATTGGTCACCCTTGCTTTTCGAAGGGCTACATTTACACACCAATGTTTTCGTACAGCGGAGAATCCTTCGCACCGATTCAGGCAGCTTGCAGCTGCATTTTCGGAGGTCATCAGTTTCTGCCAGCCTGTGTGCCCAATTATCCCAATTGCACTGGAGTATACTGTCAGGATCTGGCAGGAAAAGGTCAATCTATAGGTTCACGAGCTGTGGTCAGTTCCAGTCAAGAATTTCTGTTCCTGCGCTTGTCAGGTTCGAATGAATGGAACCAGTGATTTCAATGGGTGTGAATCGTTGGTGAAGCGCATTTTCAACAAGGATGCTCCATGCCTCATTGAAAAATGCGCCTGGCTGGCACTCTTCAGCAGTTCCAATTTGTTGTGCAGATACTCTGGGCGTTACATTTAACTTGACTTCTCTTTACTTTTGGGTCCATTGGCTTTCCATGGCTCTCGCGAGGCTCATTTTATGGTGTTTATCAGCCACGCGTCTACGAAGTTCCCTTTTTGGCATTTGTTCCTTGGTGGCAGCGATGTGCGAGCCCTCACTTAGTGACTTAGCGCAGCAACCAAGCAGTGCAGGGAGAAATAGATGAAATAGTGAGAAGTGTGGAGAAATGTGGCTTTTGAATTTTTGGAGTTCCCCTGCCACAGCATGGAACAAAAAGATGTTCAGAACGCGTCAGCCGCAGATCTGAGCAGGCTCACTTTGCGGACGTGGTGGCCGATTTGGGACTCCCGGTGGATGCGCAGCTGGAGGACATTCGCATCGCCACGCGCTACGTTTGCTCCTTGACCTTGGTGCAGTTGGAGATGCTCTTTGCTCGGGTGGCAGCCACTTGGCACAAAGGATGAGAAAGGATGAGAGCTCCCAAAAGAATCCAAAAGACGATATAAATTTCAGTTGAATTTCATATGAATCCTGATGAATCATGAGGGTGCGTGATTTCTTATGATTTCTTGTTCTCCCAATTTGAAATCGAATACTTTGGAAGAACTCCAAGGTATGTTGTCCAATTCCCTCTGATTCACCTGTGAGGATGAGTACGACCGCACCCATCTCTGCTTTCACGCAACTTTTGCCTACACCTTGCTACACTTTGGCTACGAGCTTCAGGCGGATCGCGAACATTTCCAAATTTTCCAAATCTGATGGCCTAGTTTTGGGGATGCTTTGGATACTTTGGGCTTGTTGTCATTTGTTGCCATTTGTGCCATATGTTGCCATTTGTTGCTTGAGTGTAGGCGAATCAAATCATGTTCAAAACCAGCAGTGGTGGCAAACCCATCGATTGGGCAGTTGGGGCCATGATCTACGAGATCAACCAGGAGCGCGGCAAGACTTTCGGTTTTTACATGTCTTTACCAAAGAGTCAATCCGTTGGCCCAACATTTGCACCTGACTTGACATAATGAAAGCGTCCGTACAAGCATGCTGACCTTGGCGACATACAGTGTCTCCTTGATGGCCTTCACAATGTGCAGAGCCAGAGGTCAGATGCGTCTCTGACACACACTCACCTTTTATATGTGTCTTCCGGTGTGTTTCGTATTTGCTTTCACCTGAGAAATTTCACACATTTGTCCCTTCAGCTTCAGAGGTCTTTTCAGGGGTGCACCAGAGACATCCAGAGACGCTGTAATTTTAGCTTGTGCCCTGACAAGATTCCTGTGCTGCAGGATCCTCTGCTTTCTGTGCCTCTCCCCGTCGTTCACAACGGATCGCTCCGTGTAGTTTGAGTGCCAGGGCGGGCTCGCCGTTTGAACGCAAGGCCGTTCGGCCAGCCCATGGCGCGATGCCGGGCTTATCTTTCGAGTGTTTTCAATTTATTTGAACGGCCAACCCAGAGCCGTAGATCCAACCTTCCCAGATAAGGTTTGAGAATGTGTTGGGCTTCACTCACGTAGTTTGGCCTAAGATATCTGATAATGTTGTGATCACAACATGCAAAGGAGTAGGACTGAAAGTCACACCATTGGTGACACAAAGCCAACAATCTGCATGACTGGCAATCCTAACTTCAGGTACACATTTTGAACCCATGGGTGTGCATGATTACGGTCTAGTTGTCATTCTGTCCTTTGGAAAAGTTCCATTGGTGCAGACTTAGCAGACCCGAACCTCCACCCACTCAAGCGTCCTTTGGTTTGCATCGGTGTGACATTTCGGGGCTCAAAAGGGCTACGGGGCATTTTTCTTGGCCCCAAATGCCTCGCTCTTTGCGCATGGACCTCAGTTCCCTGAGGCTCACAAGAGAATTCTGAGTGAATTCTGCTGAAAATTCACTTTGATGAAGTGACTGTAGAATGTTGTATGCCAAATCTGAAATGAGTCATGAGCGAGAATGGTGGAGCAAGGTCCTGAAAAGCTAACAACCTCACCATTGTTTTTGCACTTCAACTTCAACTGAGTTTAGGCTGGCGAGGCCTTAGCCTGTGGCCCTTGAGAGGACGGGGATGGATCTGGAGCTCTTCTCAAATTCCATCCTTTCAGCTGGGATTCCGTCCTGCAGGATGCTAAAACGGTCCCCCCAAGACGAGGTCGGAGGGGAAGAAAAAAGACCTCGGCGAGAGGAGCCAGTGACTGCCAGTGTGGTGCGTCAAAAAAGTCTTTGGATCACCAGCAGCCAATGAGTCAAAAAGTCTTGACATGGTGAGGGCCATGCGGGGTTTCTTCCCCGTTGTACCTCTATATTTGGGTCACAATGCGCTAGTACCGATGAGAAAGACACATGAGGAAATGCACAGATAAGTTTCAGACAAATGCAGAAATAGACAACCACATCATAGAATCTGAGCGTGAAAGTTGGAAACCTTTGGAAGTTCTTGGGAGGATCACATAGAACTTTGCACGCCGACCTTCAAGTTGTTGGCGCCAAAGACACTGGCAAGTGCCATCCAGCACCTTGTACTAAAATCTGACAATTCCGACATTGTCAGCACAAAATTGGCTCTTTGCGTACCTGCTGTGGCTCCACCTTTCCAATTATTTGAGGTTTAGTCATTTGGTGATCGAGAATGCAGCCCAAGGCTCAATTCTGCATTCAGATGTTTGGGATTAGTTCATCAGTTCATCACTTCATGAATTTTTATGAACTCTTTATGAACTCTTTATGAACTCTATAACTCTTGCAGCTTTCGAACGTGCCGCACTTTGTCCACCGGTGCCATCAGGCAAGTTGCATCTCACGGAGCCAGAAGATTTGTATCCGGGGACAGAGCAGCAGGCGAGCTCCGATGAAAAAGGGGCGTTGTCGCTGTTTCCAGCTTTAAAGAACTTTAAAGCGTTGAACGATTTTGAAAAGATGTGACTCTGCAAGCTGAAACTGAAAGGTGGTGACCATTGAATCTCCTGCTTGGGAGAATATTGAAGCTTGCTGCAGCCAGAGGATGCCAGAGGTTTCAGATCCAGATCTCTTATGGTCCCCTGATCTCTGCCACAAGCAGATCCAGGCCAGTGCCATGAAGCACATCCTGGCGATGGCGAACAACTGCACGGAGTGTGTCATGCCCGGCCACGAAGACGAGAGGCGTTTGGCAATCGCCTGGGCTCTCAATTCCGCCACACATCACCATGTCAGACCGCCATGGATCTATGAACATAGAAAGTTAGACAGCCAAGCTTGAAATCAGAAAGTTACGGCGGTCTTTCCAGATTACTTCTCAGATACATGAAATCTGAACCAATGAGCCTCCCTCGTCATCTTTCATGAGGTCATGCCTTCCCGATCTATCAGCGCTCTGATTGGTGTGAAAGGCTTGGCCATGAACAGTGACAGAGTCACATGTTTTCCGAAACGGGTCAGTGGAGACAAGTCGGCATCTTTGCAGGCGCCAATGTAAAGGAGCTGCAACTTAGAACGGGCTGCCACATACACGTGGACGATGTCGCCATAGGCACAGCATGGGGTTTCACAGTTTTGGGCTGATGCATGCTGAATCACTGAAGTATTCAATCCAACACCTGCAGATTCGCTTTCACATCGCATCACGTTGCATCGAAAATGGCTCCAAGCTTCGTCACGTCTATGCACATCATGAGCAGGCACATGGGCGGTGCTACACCTTGGGAAGGGCAAGTAAGAAGATGAAGAAGATGGATGTGTGAATGGTCCATGTACGAAGAAGCAGCCGCCACAGGTTGTGTATGTCCAGCAGTGTGGCGACCTGCTGGTATCCGAAACACTTCCCATAAACACCCTGGCTCATTCTAGCACAATGTGGCAGCTGGCGGCCCAAAAACAGCTCACGAGTCAAAATCGATCAAAATCGCAAATGTAAGATTAGCATAGATTTTGATCCATTGGCATGAATACAGTTTAGTGCTACTAAGTATACTCAGCGCAGTCGCTTCTTGGCTATGGAAAAAGCTGCGTCAAGCAGCGATGCCGCAGCTTCAACAGCAGCGCCTGCAACAACGCTTCCAGCGCCGATCGCACCAGCACCGCAACATCCTCCGCCCTTCTTCCCGCTGAGGGACTTTCTAAAGCCACTCGGCATTTGTATAATTAGCCTATTATAGCCTACAGCTTGTTCAGGCTGGGCCTTTCCCGCAAATCTGCAGGAGTGAGAGGCATGTAGATGTACTGTAGAGTCTGTAGAGTCTGTAGAGGCTGTATTGTGATCTCTCAGCGCCTTGAGAATGTCCCGAGGGAGAGTGGTGTTTGCGACCTGCCGCGGGTGCGTGTAATCGATGTGGGTGCCATGTTCCTCAGCGAAGCAGAGGAAATCTAACGGGGCACAGTGACACATTTTGCACAAAAATCTGCTTTTCCTCATAGACTTCCCATGTAGCCAGAGCTTCTTACAGGAGATTTGGCAACCGCTGCAGCGACGTGGGCATTGTGAGTCAGTCGTGGGCTTTGAGCCCTGCACGGAGGAGTGCGAACGGCTCAACAGCTCAGTGAGCAGCCTGAAAACCTCAGAGGACGCTAGGATGTTTGGCTATTTACGGCTATTTTGGCTTTCTTCCAGCATGTTTTTGCATTCAAAACTGCGATGCATAGATGCTCACAGATTTGCATTCATACCTTGTCATGCGCATTTTCTGAGAAATATTCGACCAGCAAAGTCGAATATCAAGACGCGCATTTTGATGCATTTTGATGCATTTTGTATCATTTGGTTATTTTTGCAGTGCTGGGCTTTGCTGGGAGGGGCACTTTGCGGCTCGGTGAAGGACGGCAGCGACTCCACGGAGTCCACGGCCTTTCGCTTCCTGCCGTGGGCCTTGGGCGATGGCTCCAGAGGTCAGTTCCGTCGATGCTCCGCTGCCATGACCTCCAGCATGTTGGAGCCCAACATCCCATTGCTGCGACGTTTCGTTCAGCTGGAGGAGGTGACCACAGTGGTGGAAAGAAGTGAGATGGCCACCAGAAGATTAGATGATTTGCTTCCAGAAATTCCAGGAGGTGGTGTGGAATCCTGGCATATCCTGGCATATGGCGCTCAACATGGTGTTCTTTCTAGGGATTTCTAGGCTAATTAATGGAGTGTTTTGTAGCAATTATTGTGGGATCTATGTATCACTTATTCTTCAGCTCAAAAATCAAGAAATCTTCAAACTTCAAACGGATCAACGGATCAAGGCATTTCCCCTGAAAAGTTGTGACCCTCTAGCATGTCAGCATATCTACACTGAATTCTTTGCTTCACCTGACTAGTTTGCCAGTCAGTTTTCACCAAGGATTATTTGAAGATCGATGTCCAGGGCTTTGAACTGGCGGTTCTTAAAGGTGCTCAGAAAGCCCTGCAGGACACCCTTGTGGTCCACACGGAGGCGCGGGAGTGTGATGGGCTGTACAGTTGTGGTATGTTGTGGTAGTGATGCTAGGATCGGAATTATTGGTGAACAAATGCAGCAGGCTTTCCAGAAGGATTTCTCTGCCGATCGTTCCAGGTTGAGTTCGTGGAGATGTACGAACGACAGCCGCTGTTTGCGGAGGTGGATCAATTTTTGAGAGGAAATGGCTTCGTTTTTCATCGCTTCTCCTCAGTGCATGGGAGGCAGGGTTACAGGGGCAACTTCTGGAAGTGGACATTTGGATAGTGAGATTGAATGGGAGGTGCAAGAGTGACTTCAACATGCTGTACCAGGCTAAGTCTTATAGTCTTATAGTCTTATACTTATAGGTACAGATTACAGATGCATATCCCATGACTCCCATGACAATGAGACTTGGTGACAGCCATGGTGTTGCCCGCCGTTGCTTGGTCACATCTGGACGCTGCCGTTGCAGGCCGATGAAGCCGCTGCATTTCGCAGCCAATCCGCTGCAGCCCATCTCGCAGCAGCTCTGGGCTGACGCTGTTTATGTGAAAGACATGTGGGAGTTGGGCCAATCTCAGGACAGCGACGAATCATGACGAATCATGACGAATCAACATGAATGATATGAATGATATGAATGATATGAATGATATGAATGATATGAATGATATGAATGATATGAATGATATGAATGAACTATAATGAACTCAGTG